TTAGTTGCAACCAAGATTCCCATCAGGTGACTAAAAGTGACACCTCATTGTTTGCCTGACATTTATTATATTTTCAGGAAATGAACTGGTTCCACACAAATGAATTTTTCATTTTTCATTTTTAGAAGCTTAAAGCTTAGACTTTTCATTTATCTCTTCTTTCTTTAGCACCAGCCATGTGCTAGACATAGTGCTGGGTGCTCAGAACAGAGAGACAAGACACAGCTTTGTTTCTTGAGCTGTCCACAGTCTAGTGGGGACATAGTTACACTTCAACATGATAAGTGCTATCATAAAGGTAAATTCGAGATGACGTGGAAGCCAACAACAGAGATCAAAGACAATTTCTTGACATTTTAAAGGATGAATATTAATTAGTCAGATGAAATGGGAGAGACTGAGTAAGGCAGGGAGCTTAAGGGAGATGGCCAAGAATGTTTTAACAAACTGAGCAGCATGTAACTGAAAGAGTATGACATTTCTGAAGTCCTGCAAGGACCAGTGCACCTGGAGCATAAAGTGAGATGGAGGTCGTGGTGAGACTTGAGCAGTGGACACAGGATCCATCATGAAGGGCCTCATATGCCTTGTTTATAAGTCAGCATTTTGGGGGCACTGTTGGAGGATTTTTAGGCAGAGGAGCAATCACTTTGACAGTACTGTGGACAATGAATTAGAGTAGCCAGGAAACTGAGGAATCCATTTCAATAATATTCTAAACCAGAGATGAGGACAGTGGTAACAGAGATGGACTGGAGTGGATGGATTGGTGAAATGTAAAGAAAGTAGAATCAACAAACCTTATCAACAGATGGATGTGAGCTTAAAAGAGAGTGGGTGATGATTAAAGTGATGAACAAAACAGACCTTACCTACATGTACCTGACAATATAGGCATGTACAAAAATAACTATAGTATAATTAAAACCACAATTTATGTTCCTTACTGAACGGAAGTTTGTATATCTACTTTCCAAGTATCTTGGAAGCATTACTGAAGATTAACGGTCCAGTAATTGATCACTGGTAAAGGAATAGTACATGTGAGGATTAAATACTGAATATGCTCTAGTATATCACACTCTCGAGTTCTCAAAAATAGAACTAAATAAACCAGAAAGAAACCAACACTAGATGTATGGAAATTTTTCAAATCAAAAATATTTTCTTCTGGCGCAATCCTTATAGCTATTGTCAACAGCCAACTTTAGCTGTCATGCCAATGCCTCTAAAAATTTTCCATTTCCTGGCAGAGCTTAGCTGTAGTGTCTGTTACCTTGGGGAGAAATCATAGTGGTACAATAGATTTACACAGTGCATTAGTCTCAGCAGCTCTCCCACCTTGCAGATAGCTCCATAAATGTAAGTTTGGCACTTGGAAAACTGCAAATATTTTTGGCCAGCTTATGTCATTTTACACAAACATTTTAGATTACTATGTGTCACTGTAACATTAATCAGGGTTATTCTCTATATTAATAAATGATGCATGTGCTACAAAAAGTTTCTAGTGACTAGGACATAACCTAGTTTCTAATTGAATCTGGCCAGTGTTGTCATGAAATATCTCAGCATTTCCATAAAGCCCCTGGCAAGTGATAGCAACTCATTTTTGCAGATGAGAAAATTGAAATAGTGACTTAAATGTATCACCTCTGGGCCGGCCCCGTGGCTTGGTGGTTAAGTGAGCGCGCTCCACTGCTGGCGACCCGAGTTCGGATCCCGGGCTCCCACCGGCACGCTGCTTCTCCGGCCATGCTGAGGCCGCGTCCCACATACAGCAACTAGAAGGATGTGCAGCTATGACATACAACTATCTACTGGGGCTT